AGTGCCGCTCCCACTGGCCAGCTCCCCCCCAGCCACCTCTGCCTCCTGCCAGCCGGTTCCCCGCCCATATACCCCAGCCAGCCCTGCTTCCCATCGGCCAGTCCTCCACTCCCGTTCTGAGATCATGTGTGTCTGGTATTTTTTTGAAACCCATCTGGTAACCCTACTCCTCACACGATTTGCCTTTCCGTGGCCCAAAGGATCCTCTTCCTAATTTTTTGAGGGACTACACAGTATGCATATTATAAGCACAATCCTGCAGCTGCTCCTTCTTTGACACTTGCTGTGGACAATGGGAAGTTCCTCACACAAAGTGCTTGAGCTAGCGAGCTAAATCCAACAGTGTTGAGCTTGCAGCTGGGAGGATGACTCGGACAGAGTTGGCGACAGACTTCACTGGACCCTGGCCAATGTGGGGGACCTAGCTCCAGGACCCCTGGAAGGGGTGTGGTCTTGGGCAGGAGGGGCAGGTCTAGAGGCAACCAGCCCTCATTGCTGCCCTGACTGCACTGCGCCTCTCGAAGTCAGACCTGAGCACTCCTTCGACCATGCTGCACGGGGCTAAAGTACCAATTTAAAGAGCCCAGGGCTCCAGCCGAGCCTTGAGCCTTGGGCCCTTTTAAATTGCCGGGCCCTAGGGCAGCTGCCTCTTTGTCTCCTTCATTGGTGGCTCTGGACTCATCTGACCGACTCCAAGCCTGCCTGATCCAAAGCTACATTAGTAACCCCAGGCTATTGCTCATGCCACAACATCCTCCCAGCTATTTTAGCATGCTAGATCATGTAGAGCTAGTCTGTGTGTGTCTAGCCACATTGGAAGAGACAAAAAGAGAGAGGTAATATCTTTTGTTGGGCAACTTTCATTGGTCACGCTATCTCTCTAATTTCCTGGGACTAACACAGCCACAACAACCCGGATCAGGCGACACCTTTCCCAGCTGAAGCGTAGACACATCCAAATAGTTTTTCATGGGGCCATTCAGCTGGATTCTACTCTCACTCACAATCAATCAAAAACATGAAATGTGGAAGCTAAGGGTGTCATGTGAGTGAGGAACAATCAGGCTCAGCGTGTCAATAATAGAGCTGCAAGTTTGTGTGTGCTGTCATGAACAAAATGCAGGGATAAGCTATCACAGCTCTACCCTCCTGAATAGGTAAATGGATTCTGCAAGTTTCCTTTGTTGTCTTATGAAGAGGAATTGCTGCCTTGTTTTGGCTGGTTAGTACATTTAAAAGTGCCAGGTGCATTTTTTTTTGAACTAGGGAAGGAGATAAACTTTTTTTGTGGCGTTAAAGAACACAGTGAAATGGAAAGGCCTTCTTGCAACCAGTGGGCACAATTCAGATCTCATACCACTGTAATGCCATACACCTCAAAGGAGCAATTCCAGAATTAAACCAATGTAAGACAGTGCAGAATCAGGCCCAGTAGTTTGATAACTTTGGCTACTTTGAGCTATCAGGTTCCTCTTCATGAAAGGACCAGCAAATAACATATTTTGCAACTAAAATCATTGCAATCTACATAGAGTTGCTGTGAATCTCAGACAGAACAGACACACTCCTCTTTGGTACTGCAATAGCAGTAGTAACCGCTATAAGAAGGGATGCTTGCACAAAAACACACACATGGGCTATATCCACCCTGACTGAATTGTGTTCATTAGCACTGGTCCTCCATTTGACAACTCCCTTCTTTTCACATGGTAGTATATTTATGCCTGCCTTTGATGTAGTGAGTCTTTGTGCACAAAAGCTTATGCCCAAATAAATCTGTTTAAGTCAAAGTACCACAGGACTTCTCATTGTTTTTGTGGATACAGACTAACATGGCTACCCCCTGATTTTTGCATTAGATGTTACACCGCCCATCATCAACACCTTCTGGAAAACTCTATCTGAAGCCCGTTAGTATATTTACTAATGCAAGTGCAATTTAAGGTGCCACAGTTAGTTTGGGGAGTTTTCCCCTTTGGAGAAATCTAATCTTTATGAACTCTAAAATGTATTTAGCAGAACACCCCCAAATCTCTGTACGAGGAGGACTGAGCACAGCCTATGTACTGTACATTCTAAGGAACAATACCTGTCCTTTTCCTGAGATGGAGAATCTCCTGAACACTATGGAAGTAGAACACTTCCACTGTGCAGGGTGGGAAGGTAAGGATTTGGGTAGCCCATCTCTTGGTGAGATTTGAGCTCCTTGTGTCATAGCAAGTGGAGTACAGGGTTGAGGGTGAATCTGTTAATAACCAAAAGCGTTGCTGGTGGTCTCTGTTCATACACCAGGGGTATGCTGAGGCATTAGGGTATGTCTACACAGCAACAAGACACCTGGAAGGCCTGCAAAGCTGTTTATTGTAGACTTTCAGGCTCAGGCACAGGCTGGAGTGAAGGTGGGAAGGTCCCCTATCTTGGGCTTAGCTGTTCTGTCTTATTTCCACTGATGTGCATGATAAAGCTCCCATTAATTTTGTTCAGGTTGGGCTCCACTCCTAGGTGTGGAAGAGTGTCTTATTGCTCAGATTCTAGAAACAGCTTCATCACAACTCACTTTTGGCAAAAGAGTGGGAGTGCCACAGCCCTGGCCCTTTCCCCGACAAGGAATTGGTCTATGATCCTTGCCCCAACTACCACTGCACAAATGAGGCAGAATATGATTTCCCCTTCAACTCGCACTCAGACAGTAATACAGGATGGATCATGATGACAGCTCTCTCCCCGCGACCAGATGGCGTACAACCCACACATGCGTGAGTAGGAGGAAATAGTCATCCACAGCTGCTTTAACCACATCCCATTGTCCTGGTACAACCCAATCTTTACCTTGCTTTAAGTTATGATAAAAGGCAATATTGTGGTCCTTTTATCAGTTAGGAGTTCTTGAACAGACTCAGAGAGATGGGTGACCAACACATAAACTCTCTCAAATACATAGTAGATTTTTCCATCAGGAAAAATCAAAACTATTCAGTGAGACTGAAATTTTCAGAAAACTGCATTTTCTGCCAAAAGACACTTGGTCAGAAAATTCCAAAGCCCTTTAAAATCTAGATATAGATGTAGACAC